CTTTTGCTGGTCCAAAATGCTGAGCACAGTCTTGGTTTATGTTTACAACAGATTTGAAATTCAGAGCAAATGTAGTGAAAAACTTCACAAATCTATAGGGAACTGGAGATTTCTTGTTAAGGAAAGAGGAGAGGTGATATTGTTTTATATTGAAATCTGTAGTAGGAAGAAAGAATGATTTGGAAAGGAAATAAAGCTAAAGTCATTTTAGCTAAGGGTGTAAAAAAAAATCTAATAGATATTGACTACACCTGAATAAGTTTATACTGACTAACAAAAGTGTGTTCCAGGCACTGCAAAGAAATATCTTTATCAATTCTTCTGCCTGTAGCTTTTTCAAAGGCTTTATCTTTCATTAATATCTTCAAAGCTTCTTTTCAGATTTTTGTCTACATAGCTTTTATAATTTCTGAGTGTTATTTTGTTTTTTCCTGTTTCCTCATGGTTTGCCTCATCTCTGTGTTATATATTTTATGGAATGGCTATGCCCTACTTAGCATTGCCCAAGATTAGGGTGAAAATTTTATACACAAGCAGTGACATTCTGTAGAAACTTATATTATTATAGCCTAATGTAAAACTTTCTTATGTATGCATGAATATATATATAAACTCCATGGCTGCCTCTGGGCTTACCTATGAATATATGTGAATTCCTTTATCTTCTATCAAATTTTAATATAGCCCAATTTTTTCTTTTTACTTTATTTAATCTCCATAAGGTAATAATAATTCCCATAATCACTTTACATCAAGAATTCTCTTTAACTGTCCATGCTTTTGGCAAAAAGAGTGTCTCTCTTAGATTTAAATATGCTGTATACAAGGCTAATTTCCTAAATCAAATTAAAAGATAATTCTGTATTTTTTCTTGGCAAATAATTCAAGATTTTAGCATGTCTGTTAAATTATATATTTGTTTGCATCAAGATTAGGATGTGAAAGAGGAAGGTTTTTTTTTTTTTTGGGTTTTTTTTTTTTTTGGTTGCTTTTCTCAGATAGGGAAACTATAGCAAAACTATTGGTTTTTTTTTTGCTTATGAATTGTGTTACAGTAGGAGCCTGTACTTCCATCTTGAGGCAGAAGTTGTTTAAAAGAGGTGTGGACAAAGAAAAAATGCTAAGCAGATCAAGAAGCTGAGGGCCTTGTTTAAAGTTTTTTTTATATTTGATCCTAGTGAGGTTAACTGCCATCTTAAAGCAGTTGGGATTTCATGTTTTATATTTTGCTAAAATTTATAATTGAAATAAAATTACTTCTGAACTTCCTAATGATGAATTACTAAAAGATAAGTAAATCCTTATACACATGTAATTAGATTATAAATTTTGGGCTTGGTATCTGTTCATTTATACCCCTCAAATATAATACAATGTATAAGAGAATCATAATCCTGAATTAGGTACTATTGTAATATATATTTATATTAGAAGGCTGATATAAGTTTTCCTTTACTTATATGAATATATATTATGATTTCCTAATATATGTCTACTACTTAAATACTAAAACTGCTCTGTACAACCTTACAATTTTCACAAGATTTTTACATTGATGGATGAACCCTTATTATTGCTCAGCATTTCTTTTCAGTGCAACTTGGTATAAAGGTAACAGTTCCCATTTCACAGCACAAAAATGAGGGCCAAAAAAAGTGAAAGAACTGACTTCATTCTAGAGCATGCAATCACTCACATAAAACCTAAAAATCCTTAATGTATTTCATTTTGGCATGTCATTGTCAACACAATATAAATAGAAACAAATGTAAACATATGGATATATATACACTAAAGATTTAAAACTATTTAAAAAATATTTATATGCATATGAAATTTTAATTGGCTTTTTGGATGGAAAATTTGATTTATAGAACATAAAATCACAGAATGATTTGGACTGGAAAGGACCTTAAATATCATCTAGTTCCAGCTCTCTTGCCATGGTCAGGGGCACCTTGCACTAAACCAGGTTAATCAGAGACCCTTCCAGCCTGGCCTTGTACTCTTCCAGGGATGGGGCATCTGCAGCTTCTCTGGGCAGCCTGTTCTAGTGCCTTTCCATCCTCAAAGGAAGGCATTTCTTCCTCATATGTAACCTAAAGCTACCCTATTTCAGCTGAAGGACTTTCCTCCTTACCGCATTGCTCACTACATGCCAGGCAAAAAGTCTCTCTCCCTTTGTCTTGAAGGCCCCTTTTGAAATGGAAAGCTGAGAAAGGTTTTCCCTTCTCTTTTCATCTTCCCTTTCCCAGAGAAGATCCTTCTCTTCTCTAGGCTGAGCAGCCCCAGCTCTCTCAGCCTGTCTCCTTAGGAGAGGCCCCAGCTCTCTCATAATCTTCATGGCCCTTCTGTACACTTACTCCAAAAGGTCCACGTCCATTTTGGGCGGCCCAGAACTGGACACAGTACCCCATGTGGGGTCTCATGAGAGCAGAGGCAGAATTCCCTCCCTCAACATGCTAGCCATTCTTCTTTTGGTGCAGCCCAGGATGTGGCTGGCTTCCTGGGCTGCAAGCACACATCGCTGTAATGCACTCTGTTGTAAATCTCCTACAGAAAAATTTCTATAAATCTTCGACTTCCACCTGCTTCCCTCCCATTATTTCAGTCAAAAAGTTGTCAAGGATAATTGAACAATATATTTAGTAATCCTGTAGTTCAGCTTTGAAAATATGAGTCAAGTAAGTCTGCTGAAAATTGTCTTATAGACATGTGCCTCAGAAAATAGCATGTGGCTTACCTCTTTGTATGAGAGCAAAGGTGTTAAATCATGCTTTGAAATTCAATTGCTATTAACTAAAATGATATTTTTTCTTCTAAATTATTTTAATATTTATGTTTTAAGCTATTTGATGCATTACTTCATCACTTTTGACTTTTCCAGTAGAGTTGTTCATCATGTACAATTGTCCTACATTTCACATCAAAACTGACTACCAAATTAGAAAATGAAAGCAACTTGTTCAGTATCTCATATGTGCTTGAGATCATTTCCAATCTTCTGTCTGCCTGGATGTAATTTTGACTGTTAGAAAAATGTACCTTTTTCAAATGTACCCACACTACTAAATCAGCCATGCTAATCATACTGCTGTGTTTACAGCTCCACTATTTTAATGCCATTTCTGAACTTCTTTTTAGCTACTTTTACAGTACTGATTAGTCCTGAGACAAGAAGAGATATCCACATAATCTCTTTAAAAATAATGTCAAAGACTGTTACTTCCTTATTAAAAAAAATCCAAATTCCCTTTTATGTTAATAATTATTTATATAGGTATTAAAATATTTAATCAATAGATTTATTATTATGTAATCATAAAACCTTACCTTTAACAAGTTATAAAATGTATGACATGAGCTATTTTTCAAGTTTTCTTCATGAGTTTTCATCAGTATATTTTTTTTTTTTTTTTTACCACTTCTGCTTCTGCTGGTTTATATATGTTTTTGCTTCGGATCAGTGTGAATGTAACATAGACTTAGCCTACTTATCACATTTCCTTTGTAATATTAGAAAACTCTTTTTCTTTATTTTTCCTAGTCTTCAGGAATCTTCCTCAGAATTTTGGGATTGATTTGTGATAACAATTAATTGATAATTGAGATTAATTATTTAGAAGGATCCTCAAAAACTCTCAAAAATTTCCTTAAGTAAAAACTGCCCAATGCTGTCAATTACTAGAATTTAAATTCAACAAATGTCATCTAACATAGTTGTAACAGATGGAACAGAAAGAATTTTCTTGGCATGCTAAGTTAGAGTTATATAGTTTTGTTTCCAACAATAGTAACATGTAGAAAATGTAGATCTTTTATATCTTATCCAGACAGTTCTCTCTCTTTATTTTTTAAATGAAAATATTTCCTATGTGGTATTGTTAATATTTGTTAATATTTGTTTCATCCTGGTATACTAAAATATTTTGTAGTATTGATAGAAAGAGAGAGATATGCATTGAAATTCTTTTTTCCTTTTGATGTATTTCGGTTTTATGTTAAAGTGTTGCCAGCAGGGAGGCCACAGGGATTTTCCAACGGTGGATTGGCTAATTCCAGCCGGCCCCTACAAACCCACCACAGCACATCACTAAGCCTATCAGCTAAGCTGGTGGAGCTTCTGCGAAAATATATTTAAGAAAGGGCAAAACCATTGCAGTGTTGGAGAGGTGAGGTGGAGGGACTGGGGAAGTGAGAAATTGAAGCGTTCCCGGGTCTCCCAGATCACTGCTGTCTGGGAGGTAGCTGCAGGTCCGGGACCGCAGGAAACGCTTGATGGTAGTAAAGAGAAGAGTCTTCCACCGGGCGAGAGTCTCTCAAAGGGCTTTATTCTGATGGCTTCAGTGAAGGAAGGCGAGGGTGGTGAAGGGACACAGCCACTCAGAGGGCGAGCCAGCTCTGAGAGCCCCGAACCAGGGGCGGGGCAGGGTTTATAACAGTTGCAGGGAAGGAGGGTCAGGGTACAGAGCATCAAATCAGGTGAGGGGTTGAGGGTGGAGTCAAGTGGGAGTGACACGGCAACAGCCAACTGGGAAAGAGGGAAGGAGTGGCTTCGGGGGAGGAACCAATGGGGGTACAAAGAACTGAGAACTTTCTAGAACAAAGGGAAGGAGTACAAAGTGATTGACGTAAACTGGGAGAAGGGAAAACAGATAACTGACAACTCGGGAGGCGGGAAAACTACACATCTGTGGCCTCCCATGGCAAAGCAGGGAGGTCACCAACCACACCCCCTCCCACAAGAAATTGTAGAGGGGACACCAAAGGAAGGGAGGTGGAAGAGGGAGAAGAGGAAAGGAAGGAAGGGAGGGAAGGAAGGGAGGGAAGGAAGGGAGGGAGGGAAGGGAGGAAGGGAGGAAGGGAGGAAGGGAGGAAGGGAGGAAGGGAGGAAGGGAGGAAGGGAGGAAGGGAGGAAGGGAGGAAGGAAGGAAGGAAGGAAGGAAGGAAGGAAGGAAGGAAGGAAGGAAGGAAGGAAGGAAGGAAGGAAGGAAGGAAGGAAGGAAGGAAGGAAGGAAGGAAGGAAGGAAGGAAGGAAGGAAGGAAGGTATTGGAGGTACTTCAGGTGCTAGAGAAATTATCTAATGCAACAACTAGTGGAGGACCCCATGCTGAAGCAGATGGATATTTCCTGAAGGAATTTCGGCCTGTGGCAGATTTTGTCCTGAAGGACTACAGTCTGTGGAGAGGACCCACACCAGACTGAGGCAAAAGTGTGAGGAGGAATGATCAGTAGAGAGAAGCCATTAACCCTCTAATTCCCACTCCTGTTATATTGCTTGTTGGGGACATCCTGAAGCTAGCAAAGAAGGAACAAATTGAGCCCGGAGGCAGAAAGGCGCTGTTTTCATATTTTTCTTGTTTGTCATTATGGAAATATAATATAATTATCTATTTATAAGTTTCCCTAAATTGAGTCTATTTTGTCTGATCCAGTATGTGGTAAGTTATCTCTGCCTTTTTCTTCAAAATATTTCGCATTTCTTTTCTATTTTCTCCCCTGTCCTGTTGAGAAGAAGAGTGAGTGAGCAGCTGGGTGGGAGTTCAGCTGTTTCTTGAGATAAGCCCACCACAATTATGTCATCTCAGGAAAATAAATTTATAACAGTGGCATATACTGGATACATTCATATATATAGTCTGTATAAAAAATTACTTAATTTTAAGTAAATTTGGGTAAAATGTCTTATGTATTTCAAATTTGAATTATGTGGAGTCTGTATTTTACTCTAAAACCTATGCATGCTGCTTGCATAGATTTCAAGATCCTGACTGAAGTAATACCAGTATATACTTTTTGTTTTTCAATATCAGTGCAAAAATTAAGTGTATTAAGTTTAAAAGCTGAATTATTAAACACAATTTTCAGAGAAAAGCAGACAAATCTAAATTACTTAAAGGTTGGGTTGTGAGTACATTCTGAATAGTGTGAGATGCTAAAAATATGAAGACTTCTGCAAATAAAGTAATGACTTTGAGGAAAAAAAAGCACAATTTTTAATTCATTATATCATATGCCTTGATATTTGTTGAGTCAAATGAGTACTGGATGTGTTTTCAAGCTGTCCTTTGTGAAGTTAGCACACAGTCCATTTGCCAGGCAAGAGTGAGTAATTCAGCTAAGCCTGGCTGAAATTTGTCTACAGTTTGTAAAAGGAGTATCTTCAATATTCAGAAATTTTCAGTCGAAGCAAAAAAAGAGAAGCAGTGTGTATTTTTCAATTATTGGTTTATATTTTCCTTACTTTAGGAAATTACCTTGAAAGTGATATCCTAAGTCACTCCTTGATGTTGCAGACATGTCTTAAAATACAGCTAAGAAACTAATCAAATTCCATCTTTAAAGTATATGGATTCATTTTCCTGCTACTGCTACCTTTAATTAGAAATTTGTTTAGGATTTTCATTAAAGTAAAGGTTTCTATGATTCAATAACATTTTTAAGAAAATCCAGTCCTGAGCTACTGGAATCTTCAGATACATTTCATGAAATTCTACTCATTTGTGTTAATTTAAACACAGCAAGGAGTCTTTATTACTGTCCCACAGTAATAGCAGAAATAGAAACTACAGTCACAAAGTTGTGTAAAAAATTAGCCCCTTTTAGCTAGTCTTAAAGAATACTTTTTCTACATTTTCAATTTTAAATGTGAGCTACAAAATTGCAAAACTCTAAATAGCTAATAGACTGTATGCCAACAGCCCAATTTAAAGACATGAGAAATCAAAATCAGGTAATAAATAAACAAATAGGAATGTGATATTTATCTTCCAAATAAAACATAGATTGTTATGTGTATGATATACATTTCAAATATTCGTTTTATTTTTTTCTTAATGAAGATAAAGTGTAGAATGTGAACTATATTTTAAAAAGTAAAACAAATAATGTAATTCCTAGGCATCAAATACAAAACCAATATAAATTAAAAGGAATTTAAAAATAGGAGTATTTAAATTACAATATGCATAAGACTTAGAAATAAAAGAATGAATTTCATAGTTAAAAAAAATTATTTAGATTTAAGGTGGGATGAAGCTATCCAGACCTGACACTGAAAATTATAGAAAACTTGGAATTTAAGCTGCTAATTAACATGGGAACTTAACCTAACAATTTGGGTTCAACTCCAATTTTGCACTGAATTAAATAAAATTTTAATAAGAAAAGGACAAAGACATAGAACCAGACAGTGCTAAGTAATTTAATAATATACAGCAAATGAATTACTTGTAAAATTGCTCCGTAAGGCTCCATGACTTGAGAAAAATGTGGAACCTTGGAAGAAGGGCGAATCATGAAATAGTGAATAGACAGAGTGCATCATGACTGTAAAGGTTTCTGTTTAAAAGACAAGGAAGGAGGGGATCTGCATAATGCAAATGAAAGGCCTGTGCAGAGGAGGGGCAGAAAATAATGAGGAAACCAATGACATTTGCAAGCTTGAGCAGTTGCAAGGGCGAAGGCTCTTCCTTCAGTCTGAAGGAATGAGCAGGAAAAGAGTTTCTCAAATGTGTGTGTGCACATGTGCACGCACACAGAAATAAACATATGTTCTTTATAATTTAAGGAAGAATTCAGTGTTTGAATTTTGCAATTTGATCTTACTGTGTGCTAATCATAATGTAGTTAACATACAAAGATTATCAATATCTAAGCAAAACTATAAGTTGACACCTGTGATTTATTATTGAATAGAATTATTTACAATGTTTATGGTTCTTTTTAATTTTTTAATAACTAATTTTTTAGTTCCCTCCACTCACACGTAACTATATATAGGCTTGAAGATACCTTGGAAGGAAATTTTGTCAAAAGAACTGGTAAAAGCATAAGGAAAATATTAGACATAGTTTTCAGTAATTTAAATTTCTAATATTTGATTTTTAAATGATGAAACATCCAATAACCCAAATGGCCCTACACAAACATATACATAGAATAAATTACTTCAAATGAAAGCACAAAAATTATTTGTTCAGCTGCTCTAGTGGCTGGAAGGATAGGAACAAAAGCTATTATTGTTCACTGTATTTTTTCACAGGAAATAGACAGTGGCAAACATACAGTAGTTCAACACATGAGATCAGAGACACAGTTTTTATAGTAAACCAAAACCAGATGTTGGAGGGACTCAAGACCTTTACAGAAATTATTACTTATGTTTGCCTTAGAAAGCAAAGAAAGTTTACAGAGAGTCATGTACCTGATTAAGAAAAAGACAGGTTACAAAAGTTATTCATTCAAGGAAAAATATTTGCAATACAGACTGTTTTATATATAGCAGTTAGTTATGTACATAGGATCTGAATTTTATTTTTGTTTGGTTTTTGAATGAATATGCTAACTTCTTCATACTACTAAGCAACTTTAGAAATTAGAAGAAAGTTAAATATTTTTAAACTGGATGCCAGAAATGTGCAGTAAGCCCTTGGAGTTTAAGTTCTATTATTAATGGACACAGAATTAGGCATTAAAGAATATTTATCTGAGAAAAAATTGAATGTATGGTACTATATAGGTATTATATAGCTTTTCAGGTAGCATGAAGTCTTTCTCTAGTTAAATATTAGTGATTTGATATTACTGGATGCTAACAGGTTTAATAGGAATTTGATGGAATAGTAATAAAGAAGGTCTCAGTGCTGCATTCCTGAAGCTTTCTTGCAAATAGTCACTTAAGTAGGAAAAAAAAAGGGCAAGACCATAGCATGTTTGAGACAAAAGTTTATCTGCCATAAGGCACAGATCTGTGGGAAATGAAGCACTGCTTCTAGTACCTCCCAAACTGTATTTTTTCTTGTATTTTTCAGACCATCTTATGTAGCCATTGGGCTAACTTTTCCTAGCAAATGTTTTATTTCCTAGCAAGGAATTTTTTTTTATTTCTGGGGTGGGTTTTTTTTTTTGTTTTGTTTGGTTTTTTTTTGGTGGTGTTTTTTTTTGGGTTTTTTGGGGGTTTTTTTTTTTTTTTTTTTTTTTTTGTTTTTTCTTTTGCAAGGTTGGGTTTAAATGGGTTTTAAAAAATTAGGTACTCATTTTAATTTTAGTCCTTTTTTAGTCCATTACCTCTAGAGCTTTAGAGCCTTGAAATTCTGGTGTTGCGTAATCTTGCTATGTTGTAGACGAGCCTCTAATATCAGAGAAATTATTGAAGGATATAGTAACCGCCAAAAAGAGATGTGCCATTATATTTTAACATATAATTTGAAATCTGTTAGTCTTTTTCAAAGCTTCATGAACATTAAATATATAAATTAAATGCATTACAAGTATATAATGATAATCTTAATATAAGACCAATAATTGAATGAAATTATATTAATTATAATTAATATGAATATACAAAGAATATTTGTAAGCAGTCAGAAAAAAATAACCTGAATCTCAAGTTTCTTTAATGTTGCTTATTAGAACTTTAGGCTGTTAAATACTGTTAAGTTCCAAGTGGAACTTCCTTGAGCAGAATTTGTGGAATTTCCTTCATCCAACACCCCCTTGCAGGTGCAATCTGGTGCAAACTCTAATAGAGAAATGGAGTGTCTTTACATCTTCCCAACAAAGTTTCAAGTATGTGGTTTGAGTTTAAATTGAAAATAAATATATAAGCCCATGTAAAATTCAGATGTTAACAAAACCAGGAAAACATGGACTACACTGACTGTACAAAATGGATCAAATAGAATGCCCTTAGTCTTCTGTGGTTATGCTTAGACAGTAAGTACTGTTGGTAACATTTTATCCTGTCTGATTAAATACTTACAATTGTGTAAATATGCAAACATTATTTTAAATTATATTAAATGCTTAAACATTTGATAGTAACAAATTCACGTTATATTCTAGTTTTAAAAATTCTTGCTATATTTCCGTAGGGAAAAAATAATCTATCATGAATTTTTATTCTGTTAAAGCTCATTTATGGCATTCTGCAATTTGATCTATGCTCTGTACTGTCCATAATAAGGTAGTATACTGTAATTAACCTTACCTTATTAGGTAGTTTCAACTTGTTTTTCTGAACTGGCTTCTTGAAAATTTTCTTGCAGCAATGGTCTACTGAAACATAGAGGTTGAAACTGAGGACATAGATTTATGTCCTCAGTTTCAACCTCTATGTCTATAGATTTATGTCCTCAGGGAAAAGGAAGATACTACTTACATGCAAAGGTGTGTATGATAGCACCTATTGCAGAATGTTCTTGGGTCTACACATTTTCCTTCTTCTCACATTGTTATACTGAATATGAATGAAATAGATAATGTTAGAATTAATGGGATGAGCTAATAATTTAATATTCCATTGAGATTTAATGGAAACATTGCACAGCTGTCTTTAAATGCTTTTGCACACATTTATGAATTCAGAACAGGTAGATACTGGAGGAAATGTTCTGAGCCGATGATGAACAAAGCATGTATCCAAATCTTTTGATCTTGG